ACTGGGCTAGGCCCAATTCAAATAAACCGAGGAAGCCCAAACACAGCAAGGTCAGCCCATTAGAATGAAGGCATCAAGACTTCAACACCTGAAGCCCCAAGGCCAACGCCCAAAGCAGGAAGGCATGGCTGCCTCTTGGGCGCTGCCTAGGCAAGCCCCTTGGGAGCCGCCTAGGTAGGCCCCTTGGGCGCCTCCTCCTCTTTGCTCATATTAGCTTTGGTGCTCCAATACAATTCCAACCACACCAACTCGAAGCCCGGGCTCAGGGTCAAGTCTAAGATCAAGATCAATCTAGTATCCCTCTCCGAATGAATAGGAGCACGAGGGAAAGAATCTCGAGATGGAGATTGAGTCCTACTAAAATGGATTTTACCAAAGTGATAGAGACCTCCTTTATCACGTCACCACCTTACCCTACCTATATAATATACGCTCTCTCAACATTGCGGGGACGCTTCTAATGCCTCTACTCATCTCCTCACACACACTGCTCTCTCTCTCTCTCTCCAAAACACTGTAATACACCGAAGTTACTTTTTCGGTTACATTATTCATCAATAAAACACCCCAAGCCACCGTTGTTGTTCTCAAGAGTGGAGTAGGTTACTCGGACCGAACCACTATAAATCTCTGTGTCTATCTTATTTGCTGCTTTAACCCTTAATTGCCATTGATTGTTTGTTAACCGCATATTAATTACACTTTATACGTTATTGATTGTTGATCTTGCACGAGACCAATTTGTGCATTATCAAAGGATAAACTTACTAACAGCCATGAGGTCCCACTAGGTATGTCAAAAATATGCTTGGTCGTGAATGTGGATTTTAAGAGATGTGGGCCTACTAGAGCCTGTGTGAGTTCAAATCCAAACACTACCTTACTAAGTTGAATCTGTGTAAAGATATCACACTGATGATTTTGCACGCAATTGTACTAGAAAGTATGTTAAAACCCCAAGGTTCTTTTTTATGTCTTGTATGCTAGGACCTCATATTTCCTAAACACGTGCTAGTTAAGCTGACAATTGGGGCATAGCAAGATAACAAATTAAACACATCAAGAGGAACAGAGTCGGGAACTACCTGAATTGTAATTGTAATACATTGTAGATGTTGTAAATTATAATGCAAGTAATTGCAATGAAGTTGTGTATACCGAGTTGGCAAAGGAAGACTAGGCTATACACAAGAACCTAATCTATGCCTAGAGCTGGCTAAATAGGAGATTGAGTTAGAATTGCTTAAAAACGCTTGGTTTGATGCATTGAGTGGTTGGAGCAACTGGAGAGCGTCCTCTTGTACATCATCCTTCTGTTATTTATAGGTTTTGAAGGTTATTGTCTCGCTCTTGTTGTATGGGTCGTGTTCCACCACATCACAACTATTTACATGTCTCGGAGCTTATGGCTTGCTCCCTATCTACCGACTGAATGTGCTGTTGTAAATTGTTATTATTATTTCAAAATACAAATTCATTTATATATATATATATATATATATATAGATACCGTTAAACTGTCTTTGGAAGACAGCGGTTGTGTCGATTGAATCAACTGTCACTAGACTTCATTTACTTTAAGTTTTAAAGTGTTTTATGCATGAGTCATTCATTCTTCCATGTGATGGCCATTAATTATTATCATGAGAATATTTTAAGTGGCATGGTAAACTTAGAGGCTGCCAAAGTTTTCATGCTTAACTATTTAGTATATGCACACTATGTTATTGTCCGTTAGTTATAATATATTAGAATAATATATTACTAGTTTAGATGTGAAGCACTTGACTAACTGTTGAAACCGTTGAATTTTCCAATTGAAATTCAAACAGTGTGGTCAAGCGGTTGGATGCCAACCAATGCATCCTTCTGTTCACGACAACTTTTCAATCACTGTATCACGAGTCACACATGATTCGGTAGTGAATCGATTACAACTAGGTAGTATCAGCTTGACCCGAACTCATATCGTTTGAATCTAGCAAATTACGTTGGACTCGAATCGATACTAGTAGAAATTTAAGCAAAATCTCCAAAATCAAAATGGCAAAGGAAAAAAAGGAATGGAGAATAAGATTTGGGCATTTTTCAAACCCTAAGTCAAAAAAAATCACAAACAAATTCACCCCTTTTACAACTACAGAAATAGAAAAAAAATTGAAAGAATTGTAAGTATACCTGTTAAAATAGAAGACACAGAAAGCCCTCACATTATCGCAAAAGCCCCCTTTTTCTTCTTCTTCTTCATCATCACTGTAGATGCCCTAGCATCACAGATGAGTTAGAGACTCAGATCCCTCCCAATGAGCCTTCAGCGAGCAACGTCGACTCCTAGACCCATCGTCTCTCTCTCTCACTCTCTCTCTCTATCCTCTGTTCCTCGAAATCTGAGATTGAAGACAGTGTTTTTTTTTTGTCAAAAAATTTTGGCCTTTTGAGTGAGACTCAAAAATTTATTCCCCCTCGCCCTTTTTTTTGTTTTTTTGGTTTTGGTCCAATTTTTTTAATTATATCATTTTTAGTATTTATCATATATCTAATTAGAGATTAACTTCCTAAGTTTGCTTTTGTATATGTATTGATGATTTAATAATTAAATGTACATAATGGAGAAAATACATATAATTTCTAATTAGATATATATTAAATAATTAAATGAATAATTTCTTTATAAGTAGATTTTCATTTTTAAAGCTATTAAGTTAACCATATATATATACACTTATATTTTTTTATAATTTTTAAAAATTACAAATTAAATTATATTAACCTTGAACATAGATGATAATAAATATTTTCCAATAGCATCCTTTTTTATTCTTTTTTGCAATGGTTAATGTGTTAAATAATGTCTTTTAGGAATATGATGCATAGATAATGATAATTACATTTATTACAATTTTTTCAATTTTTTTTTAGCCTTCTAATATCGAGCTACGACCGATTTGTCTCAGTGGGCCCCAATTCAAGGGCCAATACTACGACCTTGAACCATGGTTGTACTCTGCCCGTCTTACAATGACTCGTGTTTTATGTTCTCGACTTTATAGGCCAAGATGCATCCTTATGTTTGCAATTTTTCTAGTCAATTCTTGTTATCTCATGATTTTACATTTTTTGTTGCATCCAATATATAAGTAGAGTAGCACGATCATAGAAACTTTACACCATAACCTCTAGTGGATACTTTTTGTGTAGACCGTTAAATTACGATCTAACGATCACCAAATAAAGATACTCAAAATTAATTACCTTAACCTACCAAATTTAGTTCTTAACTAAATAGGAAAATGTTTATGACATATTAATTGTGATCTAGTCATATTATTAGTTTTGTGAAACTTTATATTTTAACATTAATAAATAAATCTTTTGACATTTTTTACATATGTCACGGGTTGACCCATTTTGTGAGTTTAATTAGGGTACATCACTGTTGGGTGGGTTTTACTTAATTTTAGCCCAAATTATTAGTATGTCCTCTTCTTTTTTGCCCAAATTATCAGTTTGTCCTCTTTATTTTTCTCTCTTCTACTGCTAATCAACCCAATTTATACTAGAAGGCTTGATAATGTTGATTTATCTAAGTGACAAAGTTAAATTAAAATTAGGATTGCTTATCAGAATGCATTGCCACTATCCTTTTATTATGAAACCCAACATGAAATTGATTTGTTTATGCTTAGTTCAAAATTTTTTTTAAAAAAAAATTGATTTGTTCCTTCTACAAATTGAACACATAAAAAATCTAAAAAAGTAATCAGGAACTATCTTGATATATAATTTGTATATGAAACAATAATCAAGTTGAAATTTTAAAAAAATTTGACCCCCTACTTTTATTTACAGAGATGCATTACAACCTAAAACCTTATCAACATGTTGTAACAATGAAGTAGCTGAAACAATTGAAGGGAAACATGAGAGAAGATGGGTTTGACTGCGCTATCTTTAGTTTTTAACCCAAACAAGTATAATAAATTAGATGGGAAAAGATAAAAATCATCCGGGTCGTTGGGTTGATCCATTAATATTTAAGAGTAGTCAATATTTTTTTCTTATATTAAGCTAAAGACTTTCCTAATAGGACTAGATTACAATCAATATATTATAGACATTTTCCTATTTAGAAAAGAACGAAATTTGATAGGTTTTAATAATTAATTTTGAGTGTCCATATTTGGTGATCGTTAGATCGTAATCTAACGGTCTACATAAAAAGTACTCAATAGAGGTTACGGTACAGAATTTATATGATCGCGCTACTCTATATAAGTAATACTTTTGAAATATTGAAATAACGTAGCTTCACAAATTGCAAATCAAATACGATCCAGTGTTATTTTATAAGGAAATACGATCCAATTATGGACATCCTTCTAGAAATCTTATAGAAAAGATCTATCTTGCGAGTGTGGAACCAACTTTTTATTACTGGAAAAGACAGTAAAGTGTTTCTCGGTTGGCATATAAAATTGAACATATTGTGGGAGTGTTGTGAAGAATAATAGAAGAATATGGATATTTCGCTGATATGCCGCATAAAATAGACACAGGGAGATCCAAAGCCACCAAATCCAAGTGGTGAATATATTCTGTTCTCCTTTCTTTTTCATTGACAAAAGTAAAATTTTAGGCCATTAAAAGGTGACCCGCTTCTTCTCTTCCAACTCGGTTTCAAACTGCAAGTCCCACAAAACCGCCTCCATCATTCCCTTCTTTCTACCTTCTCCCTATGTTAATATCTTCTTGTAACTTTGCATGCCTTTTCATCCCTTCTCATTTTCATTTATTTTGTTAAAACTTATTGCTTCACAGAACTAATCTACAAATCGTTCAAACCCCCCCTCCCCCTCTTTCCCTCTGTCTCTCTCTGTCTCTCTCTGTCTCTCTCTCTCTCTCAAAGACACATGCACACAACGCACCCACGCAGAGAGATAAGCTCTTTCCTTGAACTCTAAGTAATATTCAAGAGTGAAACTGCACGAGAAGGGGCAGGAATGGCAGGGAATGAATGGATAAATGGATATTTGGAGGCAATTTTGGATGCGGGAAGTGGAAAATATGGATTGAAAGGATCGGTGGTTAAGGGTGATGAAGACAGGAGAAACAAAAACAACATCAACAATAGCATGAGGAAAAGGTTTGATGAGAAGTTGAGGTCTGAAAAGTTTGAAGATAAAGAAAAGGAAGAGAAGCTTTTTAGTCCAACAAAATACTTTGTTGATGAAGTTATCAACAGCTTCGATGAGACTGACCTCCATAGGACATGGATCAAGGTAGCCTCTCTCTCTCTCTCTCTCTCTGTGAAAACAAGTAATTTAAAAAAAAGGTACACTTTCTTCTCTGGGACAAACTCTAAGCCGGAATTGCCCTTTTAGCTGCAAGCTTTAAAGAGACTCTCAGTCTCTTGTTTAGTTTTTGCAATTTTTCCATCTATTTTTCAGCTATCTAATTTTGTTGTTGTAAATGGTTAGCAAAATGACATGAAGTAAAAATAAAGAAATTCATAATCTAACAGCAAAAAGTAATTTTCCAACTTTCTTCCATTTATGTCCTGGTAGTTCTAGTGGCCTTAGTCAGTAATAAATTTGGAGGTGTTGGACCTATTTTTAAGAAAGAAAGGACTACCAAAAGTAATACAATAATGCTATGTTGACCAAATTTTGAGACCAAATCAAGAGCTCAAATGACATGACAATAGATTATTTGAAGTTTTTATTGGGGATCAAATGACATGACACCAAATAAAGAAGTCTAAATCAGCTACCATGTCATTTTGACTCTTGATTTTGTCTCAAAATTTGGTCAGTGTAGTATTACTCAAAGTTATATATTGTTTAACTCTCGCTCTCTCTCTCTCTCACACACACACACAACAAACAAAAAGATAAAAATGGAATCAATGTTAATGAATGGGAGGTGAAAGAAAAAGGCCGCCCTTGCCATTTACAGGTAATGGAGGGCAAAAATACTACTCAGGAAAAGCTTTGTAACAAGAGATTTTTGCCTTCAAAAAATTACATCAACATCCAATTCAAAGGCAATTGTGAAGATTGGTGTTTTTTTCCCAAATAGTTTGTGCGCTTGTGAGCGCCTGTCTTTAATATGGAGCTGCTGGTGGTGAGTAGCAAAGGCGTAGTCCTAAAAGTTTTGGTTTCATATGATTGTAGTTTCTTGATTTGTCATCCTATCTTGCCACATATGGAAAACAATGAAGTGCCACACCTAATTTGGACACAAACAAAGACCAACTTTCTACAAGAATTTAAAATCTCTCAAATACCTCACTTCATAATCAAACTGCAAGGACGATCAGTAGTTGTCCGGCTGGTACATACCAAACTGCATGTGTCTGAGAGATCTAGATACCTTGTATTCAGCCAAAAAAATTTAAAATTTGAATGAAGATTAATATAATTCTTCTTTCAACAAGCTATTGCCGAGGAAAAAGGAAAGGAAAGTCGGTACTCTAGTGAGAAGGCAAAAAAAGGTAAATATTAAATTCACGAATTTAGGTGCTCCAGCAAACTCTTTTTCGCTTTTTATGATTTCTCACATGAAACTTGTAAGAGGGGACAAAACTAGACCAATAGGAAGTTCTTTTGATCTGCTTTATTACATAGTGGTTTCGGTCCACATATTCTTTGATGCTTAAGTTCTTTCTTCAAAATGGGAAATGTAAGTGGTAAATAATCAGTTGAACGAATGCAACAGGTAATAGCAACAAGGCATACTCGTGAACGCAACAACAGGCTGGAGAATATGTGCTGGCGTATTTGGCATCTTGCCCGAAGAAAGAAACAGGTCTCTCTCTCTCTCTCCCTCTATGATACACAAACACGTACAGATAGAACTACTAATTTTTTCAACCCAATATATAATATTAATATATGAAGGTTGATTAATTTTCAATGCGAAAGTGATAAAATTCATTACCACCAATAGTAAATGGGACAGGTCAAGTAAAAATACCTCAATCTTGACATGCAAACCCATTTCCCTAGTAATATATGAAGACAAGGTTTTCTACTAATCCCAAGGAGTTTGGAAAAATAATGCCGACAAAAACAGTTTTTATCTTATTTCAAAAACCTAATTAGTTTTAAAAAACGTGAGTTCAACTGACATGTTCAAACTCAACCCAACTATGCCAAGTAAAGAATACATCAGTTTCTTCGATGCTTATCCAATCTCAAAAAAAAAAAAAAAAAACCTCAAACAAATCTCAAAAAATTCTAATTTATGAATTATCGTTGTCAATCTTACATCCTCCTTCCCTTAATACCAAAAATCCCTAGGGCTCATATAACTCCACTTAAAAGACTCTTTGATTGGAGGAGACCTTTTAAGTAAAAACTAGTCAGAGCATAGTAAGTGTGATTGTGTCCATGTAATTAGCAATAGTAATTATATTTGACTGAGTTGCTATCACAGGTCCTAGATTATTGATGTAGTTTGTTAGAGCGTCTCCAACAACGCTCTCTATTGTAGAAAAGAGAGCATCTTTTCTAAAATAGAGAGCATCTTTAGTAAAAAATTAGAATAGAGAATGAATTTTTGCACACCACTCCAATAGGACTATTCTTATCATTTTATGTTTTGTCTTTTTTGATAATAAATTTGACATCCCGCTATTTTTTCTTCATTATTTTAAATGAGATACGTTTACCCTCAAAATCTCTTGAATAAAAAGATAAATATATCTATTGTCTATTCCAAAAAATAAAATAAAATAGATAGTGAGTTTGACTCTCCAAATTTAGAGAGTCAAATTAGACTTTATTTTATATAGTCTAAATAAAGAGTCCATTGGAGAAGAAATTTTAAGGATTAACTCTTTATGTAGAGGTTGACACGCGTGTCTATGCCAAGGGTAATCAAAAAGGGTGAGTAGGATGAGATGGAAGAAACTCAAGCAGTCTGTTAACGAATGGACGAACCAGTTGGGCAAAGGGTAAATGAAAAATGGTCTCACTAGCCACAAAATCATCCCCTATAGTGGACAAGTAATATGGGCATTTATAGCACAGTGTCTGGGTAGGTCGGGCTGCCCGCCCCGCCGTGATCCTCTATCACCTGTGCGAACCCACATCCGCCTCGACTGCGGTGATACTAGTGGCTGTTAACATAAGTCATGCATCCCAACATTAACTAGGCAGATGTGATATTTCCCCAAGTGCAACTTGGATGTGGCCTTGAGTAAGGTGCAATAGCCAAGACGAGAGCGGACTCCCAAGGTCCATGATTGCGACTGGTTACCGTAGGACCATGACTTTAAGAGGGTCATGTCCGCGATGCCCTCAGCGCACTCCTATTCGGGGTCCTTTCTCTCTCTAGGCTCTTCCTCGAGACCTTTATCGAGGTGCCCATTGAAGAAATTCACATAGTTTCGGTCCTTTAGCCACCAATCCACATATCTCATCATCTCACATGCTGATCCGAGCCAATAAACTCAATTACCTTAGGAGTCTCTTTCGATCCCTGTCAAGCATATCTTAGTGGGCAATAAGTCATACACTAAGAGGGCTGCTCAAGTAGACTAAACCTTCGAGACCCTGCCCCAGTCGAGGTTGACAATTGTGCTCGTCCACCCCTATTGCTCAATTCTCCTTTGAGGAGGGTCATACTTTTATGTCCCTAGGTGGGGATATCTCCTCTTAGTCTAGTGGGCCAGTCAAGCAATGGTGTCCAATTAGTTGAAGATACCATTCCTACAGTGGGGGAGACAAGTTTCGCTGAGGTTGCCCCATACTTCTACGATTCTATTTCTGTCCACCCTTAGTGAAAGGTCCATTTTGTCACTTCCAATGCGGTGGAGATGTATTTCACTCTGATGCGGTATTTGTGCTTAAGGACGTCGCACCTAGGGGACGTTGTGCCCAGAGGGCGTCGTGCCCAGGGCATCGCCCCTTAGGTGTTGTGCATAAGTGTTGTGCCTTGGGCTTCACGCATGCCATTATTATCTACACCAATCCAGTTGACACTGTCAAATGCCATTTTCATATCATCTTATAATTATTGCCACTTGTCCTATTATTATGAAGACATGTGTCATGAAGTTTCGAGTACTACATTTGCCCTCTACGCGCACCAGGTCATAGGAAGCGTCCTGCTCGTGCACACCATTTTTTGTCCGCACTTGTCGTTTAACTACAACTGTCGCTTGTGAGCTGATCGTGGTGCTGATGACTAAAATGTTTTTGTAAAATTGGCTTCAGTCTTCTACCATCATTTCTCTATTGCTAAAAATATTGTCATGGTTAGTTTTCTCTGCATGCATAGAACCTTATTTTTGATGGAATTTGCATGCATAATGGTCGCGAGGACTTGTGTATTTTTGTCCTTGTGTTGTGGCCCTATGACCCATGAGGGTGGCCTTGGGAATCTCGATCGGGTAAGCCCCTTCCCCTTTGGCTTGGACTTCTCAAATGCAGACTTTTCTAGTCTTTCGCTCAGTGATATTATGTTTTTTCAGAATGACTTTGGTGATAACTTTTTTGCCAGTATTGCTTCTCCAAGTTTGAGTGACGTGATTTTATCTCTTTCGGCACCTTCTTTATTCGGATATTCCAGGCACTAACTCGCTATCGGACCCTCCGTCACCCCCATCTTAGACATTACCTCCATCACCTCTGCTGATTATTCCTATTTTTTTGATTGTCTCCTCGGATGTCCTTCTAGTGCCTATTCGTACCATTCCCTCTCATGGTAGTGCTTTCTTCCCCTTGCCTTGAAGGGGCTCGCCTCCTATCACTCGACATCCCCCAAGTTGAGCGCCCTGCTCCTGCTGCTACCACATGTGCCTTTGCATCCCAGCTGACTATGAGCACCTCCACCACCACTAGCCTTGTTACCAAGAAGCGTGGTCCTGCACAACTTTCTAGAACTGTTATGTTTCCCTTTCCTACTCCGTATGATGGTCCGGGTTGTGGCGAGGATATTGTTTCATGTTCGGTGGGTACTTCACCACTTGACGGAATATCCCCCTTTTGGATAGTTTGTTATAGTGTTTTCCCATGATACTTCACTGTTTACTCGCACAGTATGAGTGTATGCAGTCTTTTATCTTGGACCTCCTGGCATCCTTAGTGTACACCTATCAACATCGATTAGCAAGAGATCTTGGCCCCGGGGACCTTCGCCATTTGGAGTGCACAATATGGGACTTGCAGTGTGTTGGGATTACTATTCTGATCATTGGAGACCGCATCGCACATGCCCGTATTTTGTATGATAGCGAGCATTCACAGAGGCTAGCTGACCATTTACGCACTGAATGTAATGACATGCAACAAAGACTTGAGGTGTTGAGCGATACCTTGGGGACCCACGAGCAGCTACATATGGACCGCTTGCAGGCTGCGCAAGCCCTTGGGGATTTTGACGCAGAGGCACCATTTGCTTATGGATTATTGTAGCTTATTGCATGCATATGTTTCTTTTTTGCACAAAAAGTAACCAAAAGACAAGTTTCGCATATATATATATATATATATATATATATATATATATATATATATATATATATATATATATATATATATATATATATATATATATATCAACTGATGTTTACATTTTTGTCTTCCAAAATCTAATTACATATTTTCTATGGATGTTTATATTTCTATCCCTCAGGAGTTGTATAACTTCAACCATTTGGCATTAAATTTTTCCATTGTTTTCTCTGACCCGACGCGCCCGATTTCACAATATCCGCTGTCTTCAGCCTTCATAACTTCGAAAGGTTCTTCCCACTTGGCGGCGCACTTAGGAATGGTCAGGTCACGCATAACACTTGGGACTATTTTTCGCACCAAATCACTCTCTTGGAAGGTCCTTGGCTTTACCGTCATGTTGTAAGCCTTAGACATTCTTCGGTGATATTTTTTCAAGTGTTCTCTTGCCTCATCTCGGTACTAGTCAAGTGCTTCTAACATTGCGTGTCTCACCTCTGAGGTTACCTTGACTCTGGCTGCCAACCTCGCGGAGTGTACCACTATCTCTGCGGGGAGCACTACTTCCTCACCATAGACTAGTGAATAGGGCATTGCGTTAGTGAGTTTTCTTTTTGAGGTTCTATAGGTCCATAACACTATTGGTAGCTGTTCAGCCCAATCTTTCTTATCCTCAATGGTTCTGCTCAAAATCCGTATCAAGGTCTTATTATTGGCCTCAGCTTGACCATTTCCCTGTGGGTAGTACTGTGTGGAGGTATGGTGGATCACCCCATATTGTTGTAACATTACGGCCACATCTCTATTAATGAAGGGGGTGCCATTGTCCGACAACAAGTGTTTAGGGAACCCAAACCTGTAAATTATATTTTCTTTTAGAAAGATGGCCACTGCCTTCCCTGTCGCCCATTTTTAGGGGGCTGCCTCCACCCATTTTGTGAACAACTCCGTTATCCATATACTTCTGCGAGATGAGGGATTGATGGGTTCTATGAGGTCTATGGCCCAAGTATGAGAGGGCCATGGGGTGGCTAAAGTCCTTAAGTTTATGGCAAGTGTGTGAATGAGATCCTTGTGCTTTTGACAAACATCACACCTTTGTATGTGCTCTATGTGTTCTCCCTCCATCTTTGGCCAGTAATACACCAAGTCCAACATCTGGGTGTACAACTTCACCCCTCTTTGGTGTTCTACGACATGTAACATTTTTAGCACCTCCAAAACATTATTGCCTGCGAGGCACCTTAGGCTTTTTCCATTAAACCCCCTTCTATATAGTTCATTGTTATTCAAAAAGAACATAGGTGCTCTTCTTTTGACCATTGTCGCGACACTTTTGTCTGTCGAAAGTGACCCTTCACGGAGGAAATCGATGTAAAGTTGGTGTCAATCCCCTATTTCTTCTACAATGATGTTCTCCTTGGATTCTGGGTGTTCTTGGCACTGGAGGCAATTTCGCTGCATCTCCCTAGCGTCATTGGCCATTTTTGGCCAATAGTACCTTCTCTTCTAGAGTCTCTAGAGACTGATGTCTGCGTCCCCATAAGTGTCTTGGTGGACTTGGACCAATCTGTTGCGTGATTCTTGCTTTGAAAGACATCGTAGGAGGAATCTCTCAGGGCCACGGAAGTGTAGCATTCTGCCTATAATAGTGAATTGACTCAATTTTTTAACGGTGATTTCTCCTGTCCTTTTTTCCAAGTGTTCCACTATAGGGGTTCTCCAATCTTCATAGTTTGTGGCCGAGAAAATGTCAGTGATAGGACTCGGTAGTGTCTGTCTCTTTACTTGGATGGTTGCCTCTTCTTCTACCATATCTAGTTTTGATGCCAAAGTAGCCAGCGCATCAGGGAACCTATTCTTTGTTCGGAGGGCATGCTCAATGGTGGCCTCCTCGAATTCCTCTAGCAGCCTCTGTACCAATGCCTTGTACCTGGCAAGTGCTGGCTCCTTCACACCATATTCCCCAGTTACTTGCTTAATGATAAGTTT